TTATCTGAACGGGCTACTTACAAGATTTTAAAATGTTTATAGATTTGCTCTATCTGCATAGTTTCTAAAATTCAAAATTTCATAATTTGGATTGAATATGGATTTTCAAGCTATTGCAAAGTTTCCAACACTAGAACTACATCTTCTGGCCAAATTTAGAGGTGTGCATTACCTGTATACTATAATCTGGGTACCTTATATAAACCTCACCGAGAAATAAGGGGGCATGAGTATAAATTTTAGTTCATATAATTTTTTAAAAAATTACTTTTTCTATTTTAAAGGATGTAATTTGCATTATATCAATTAGGAAAAATTACATATATATATATATATATCGGTTATTTTTAGCATTATTACAATTTTACTTAAAATTTTCATTTATTACATTCAAAATTTTGGATTCCACATGTATACCTAGGGGCCATGGATTTTTGTTTCAAAATTGCCCTATTTTTTGATCTTCAAGACCCGGTAAAAAAAAAAAAAAAAAAATCGGAACTTCAAGATTCGAAATTGCCGTATTTTCGAATCTTTAGGATCCAAAATATTTTTTTTAAAAAAAATCGGACTTTCAAAATCTGAAATATCCCTATTTTCGGATATATAGGATTCGAAATAAAAAGCATTTGCCTTCAATATTTATAATTGTTTTGGATGTTAAAGGTCCATAATTATGTGTAGACAATTTTGAAAAGAAAAAATGTTGAGTTTTCAAATTTTTGACGAGACTAAATTGTGGATTTTTTAAAAGAGCAAACATTTGAAAAAGTTTGTGCTAATATGTTTTTTTTTTTTTTGGCTAAGAATATAAAATACCTTAGGAGTGATTTTGAATGAGTTTTATTTCTAATAATTCTTAGCCAACCAATTTTCAAAATGCTATTTCTTCAAGCACTTGACAAGAACCGTACTTTAAGACATTGTCAGGCTACCTAAATAGAAGAAAGCAGTTGGAAATAGTGGGTTTATAAAATCAAATATAATAGTAATTAGTCTATTGAGAGACATAAGGTCAAATTGGTAGTTAAATGATTTACTCAAACTTATGGAGTCGATTATGAGGAAACTTTTGTGCTAGTTGCCAAGACGAATATTGTTTATGTTCTTTTGTTTATCGCAGTTAGTTGTGGGTGGTCTTTGCATCAAATGGATATTAAAAATACCTTCTTATATGTGACCTTCAAGAAGAAGTTTATATGAGTCTTCCTCCAAGTCATTCTAAAAGAAAATGAGAAAGGTCTTGTATGCAAATTAAAAAAAGGCATTGTGTGAACTTAAACAATCACCTCGCACATTGTATGTCAATCTCATCTCAGCTTTGATGAGTGTCAGGTTTCTTAAAAGTTCAGCAGATTCTTCGATGTTTATAAAAAAATGGACTTCAGGTATAATAGTTGTACTCATTTATATTGATGATATTATCGTTATAGGTGATTATAAAAAAAGAATCATGCAGCTGACAAATTATCTTCACAAAAAATTTGACATTAAAGACCTTAGTCAACTAAAATATTTTCTCGATATTGAAGTAGCACATTAAAAAAATGGACTCTTCATATCTCAAAGGAAATATATATTAGAAAATGTTTCTATATTTCCCCTACAACATAGAAGATCTATGCTTCCCCTACCATCCAGCCGTCCAATTTTGATCAAGAGAGCCACTCACCGTTTGATCTTAGATCAGACGTCTCAAAGTATTTTATTTTTCTTTTTTTTATACAAATTTTATGAATATGAAATTTAGTACGTGTCATCTTCTCATTAGGGCGTACCTATAAAAAATATTAAAAATAAATTTTTGATAAAATATAATGACCAAAATAACCCTTGAATTATTTAGGGGTATTTTGATCATTTTATTTTATTGAAAATATATTTTTAATATTTTTCGCTAGTGAGAGTTTAATAGAGGATTGGACCTCCAATATTTTGTGACAAAATAGTTTATAGAAAAAAAAATTAAAAACAAAATAGTGTAGAGACGTGACATTATGATTGGGGCAATCTTAGCCCTCCATTCAGAATAGACGGTTGGATAAGGGGAAGCATATAAGTTTTATGCTGTAGGGGAAGCATAGAAAGCTTGCCCATATGTATATAGATTTGTTGAAAGAAACTGATAAACTGGGAGTCAAACTTGTTGATACTCAAATTTAATTCAACAAATGGAAAACCTATTGAAGATATGGGTTACTTTCAGAGACTTGTGGGCAGATTGATTTATTTGACTGTGACATGGCTAGATATATGTATGCATTTATTCTGATGACACAATTTATGCATGCTCCTAGATCATGTCATATGGAGGCTGTCGATATAATTTTCAGATATCTTAAGTTGTCACTAGGCAGAAGTGTTTGGTTGAAATTGAATGGTCACACTAATATTGTTGGTTATTTTGTGGTTGATTGGGCAGGTAGTCCAATTGATAAGAAGTCAACTACCCGCTATTGTACATTAGTCGAAGGAACCTTAATTACTTGGAAAAGCGAGAAACAAAATGTAGTTGTTCGATCCAGTGTAGAGGCCGAGTATAGAGCTATGACTTCAACTACAAGTGAATTGATGTGGCTAAAATATCTACGGTCAATCCAATGGAGATGCTTTGTGATAATCAAGTAGCTATGCATACAGCCTCCAATCCAATTTTTCATAAAAGAACCAATCACATAGAAAGTTCCATCAGATACTGTTCATCAGATACTGTCCAAGTTGAGCTCCATTAATATCTACGCACCAATTTGAGGGGGAGTGTTGACAGTTATAGAAACCAAATACTGAGTTTCCTATCTTGTATATTACATGATATTATGTTTCCTATATTGGGTTTTCTATTTTATGGGATTACTATTGTAGTGAGGTTCGTTTCCTAAAAGACAAGAACTGTAACTATATAAATCTCTGGTAAACCAAAGTAATTCCTATAAATGAGATACTGGTTTACCCTCCGTAAACGTAGACACCATTGTCGAACTACGTATATGTCTTGTTGATTCTTCATCTCTCTCTCTTTCATCTTTATTTCTTCTATTGCAAATTTTACAGACATCTTCCTCAAACTCTCCATTTTCATGGACTATTGACCCAAGATATCGAAAGTGTGTTTTTTTGTATTTCCTAGTTATTAATCTTAACTACTTCATCGTCTCTACTGCATTTATTATTCATAAACTTGCATTTTATATATTGTCTTAATTGGGCTAATTTAAAAACTTTTAGAAGCAAAAGCATCCCTCCAAAGTTTTAACTTTGTGTTGACGCCATTTCGGGTCTCACCGATCAAAACCATCTCATCTACGAAAAACATCTACAACGATACCTCATCTTGTAGGTACCTAGATAGGTTGTTCATAACTAAGACAGAGATATGAGCTCAATGTTGACCCCCTGATGTAGACCTATTGTCACTGAGAACTCACTCGTTTTTCTACTAGTTGTTCATATACTAATTAGTGCTCAATCATATATATTTTTACCAAGTCGATGTAGTGGTTGGAGACTTATTTCTTTTTTAACACCACTAAATCAAATCCTGAGATACTATATCATAAGTTTTTACTATATCATAAGTTTTTTACCTTTGCTTTAAACTTCTCAATCAGTTGCTTAAGTAGAAAAATAACCTCAATTGTTGTCCTCCTCGGCATAAAACTGAATTGGTTTTCTGATACATTAGTTCCATATCTTAGTTGTTGCTCAATCGCTCTCTCTCAGAGCTTCACTGTGTGACTCATAAATTTGATTCCTTGATAGATCGCACAATTCTGTATGTCTCTTTTGTTCTCGTAAATAGTTAACACAGTACTTTTCCTCCACCCGTATGGCATTTTCTTTGTTCTCAATACTTTATTGAACAACTCAGTCATCTAGTCAATACCAACCCCCCCATGCACTTTCAAACCTCTCTCATGATACCATCTAGTCCTAAAATCTTTCTTATCTTTATTATTTTTAAAGTTTGTTTTTTCACTTTTGATATCCTAATCCTACGAATGTATCTATGACCTCTGCCTTTATTTTTGATAACGAGTCATTCTACTGCTACGTTCTCATTTTGTTTGTCATTAAATAATTTTTGAAAATTATTGACCATGATAATACAACTATTATATCAAACATTATATTAAGGGTGTGGTTTGTACAAAGTTAGGCCCTAAACAATCAAAATAAAGAACATCCCTAAATAGCGTTCTCATGATTTAATAACACTTTGTCACGATTAAATTCTCTCTTTATCTGGAAACCCCTCTCTCTCTCCTCCCCAATTCTTCATGATTTAATCACACTTTGACACCATTAAATTCTCTCTCTAGAAGCCGCTCTCTCATTCTGTCCCCGAATTCTTCATGAATTAAGGGTGCAGTCCGCATTCGTAGCTATAGAGGTAAGGTGCACCTTCAAATTTTATCATGGTTTATAATTTTGATGTAAAATGTTCTTAGGATTATCTCAAAATCTAATTGAGAAATGACATTATGAGACCCTCCCACATCCCTGTGAGGAGGACCTTAAAGGAGCACCATTAAATTTTGACGAAGATCCCTAAAAAAGGTATGACATGGGTGTGGGACTTGGGCGAATGAGTTTTCTATATATCTGTGTCAAAATTTAATGGTAATCTTTTGAAGTTCTACTCACATGGGTGTGGGAGGGTCTCATAGTATCATTACTCAATCTATTTTTATATCTAATGATAAAATTTTAAATTTAAAAAATAGATAAAATCAAATAGATCTAAAAACATATGAAAATCTTGAAAATGGATGGTGTAGATAATATGTTGTAAAATGCACCATTTTTTAGACTTCAAATCTTTTTATTTTTCATGGTCATACATCACGACGAGATGATCAATCAAAGGGTTTTTCAACATTAAAACTACTTTTTTCTTATGGATTTTTGGGGTGCATCCATAGTTCTACATCATAAGGTTGCTCATCCTTATATAAATTTTTTCCATGATTTAATTACACACTTTTGTCACGATTAATTTTTTTCTCTCTCTATAAACCCCTCCCTCTCTCCGAATTGTTGATGACTTAATCGTACTTCACGATTGATCTCTCTCCCTCGCTTCACCACTTGGCTAGTAATATCATCAAGATATTCTTCATGATTTGATCACACTTTGTCACGATTAAATTCTCTCTCTCTCTCTCTCTTCCTTCACCGCTTGGCAAGTAACATCGTCTCTCGATTGAAGACTTATAATATATAGAAATCGAACTCTGTTTCTCTACTCTCCCTCCCCCATGAATTAGGATCCGGTAGAATGGATTGAGAAATTCTCTCTCTCTGCAATTTCAGAGGTTTACTGTGGTCGCCATGGCAAGAAGCTTGAAAAGTTCACAACTTCTCCTCTTTGTGTTTCTTCTCCACCTCTTATCTGTTACCTGGTCATGGAAGAAAGAGGAGTTCAGGAACTGTAACCAAACCCCTTTTTGCAAGCAATCCAGGTCAAGAAAACCGGGCTCCTGCTCTTTCATCGCCTCTGAACCTGTAATCGAAAATGGCGAACTTGTGGCCAAGCTCATTGCCAAACCTCTGCAAAACCAAGAAGAAGAACCAGAGAAACTTGAGCCCCTGATCCTTAGAATATCTGTCTACCATGGAGGAATCCTTCGTTTCAAGATCGATGAAAGCCCTGATTCCCCTGTTACCAAGAAGCGATTTGAGGTTCCTGATGTGTTGATGAAGGACCTCGATGAGAAGAAGCTATGGCTTCAAAGGATATCAAGTCCAGAGAATGGGAAGGGATCAGTTTTGTACCTCTCTCCTGGTTATGAAGCAGTCCTCCAGTTTGACCCATTCGAGATCTATATTCGAAAAGGTAATGACCCAAACGCCATTATTTCTTTTAATTCTAATGGGCTCTTCAATTTTGAGCAATTGCAGAATAAGAGAGAAGGTGACGATTGGGAAGAGAGGTTCCGATCCCACACTGATTCTCGTCCTTTTGGACCTCAGTCAATAAGCTTTGACATCTCATTTCACAAAGCAAATAATGTATATGGAATACCTGAGCATGCTACTAGTTTAGCTCTAGCACCAACAAAAGGACCAGGAATTGAATCTGAACCTTATCGTCTCTTCAATTTAGATGTTTTCGAGTATATATCTGAGTCCCCATTTGGTCTATATGGTTCTATTCCGGTTATGATTTCTCATAATTCAGAGCGGACCACTGGTTTCTTTTGGTTAAATGCTGCCGAAATGCAAATTGACGTATTGGGTCATGGTTGGAATGCTATTGATGGAATTGCCCCTCAACATGAGGCCATCGACACACATTGGATGGCTGAGGCAGGGGTATTAGATGCTTTTTTCTTTCTTGGTCCAACTCCGAAGGATGTAATTGGGCAATACACAAAAGTTACAGGTACTTCAGCGATGCCCCAATACTTTGCAACTGCATATCACCAGTGTAGGTGGAATTACAGAGATGAGGAAGATGTAGCTGAAGTTGATGCTAAATTTGATGAACATGATATTCCATATGATGTTTTATGGCTTGATATTGAGCACACTGATGGTAAGAGGTATTTCACTTGGGATAAGCTCTTATTCCCGAACCCTACGGAAATGCAGAATAAGCTTATGGCGAAGGGGAGACACATGGTTACCATTGTGGATCCTCATATTAAGAGAGATGATGGTTTTGCACTTCACAAAGAGGCTGCAAAGTTGGGGTACTATGTGAAGGATTATAGTGGAAAGGATTATGATGGGTGGTGTTGGCCTGGATCCTCATCGTACTTGGACATGTTGAATCCTGAGATTAGGTCATGGTGGGCTGAGAAATTCTCTTTGGAAAATTATGTGGGTTCGACTCGCTCGTTGTATATATGGAATGACATGAATGAGCCTTCTGTGTTTAATGGTCCTGAGGTAAGTATTGTGATTGATCCATCTACCACCCAGCCTTATCATTTAAATAGAGTTTCTATATGTGAGATTAGTATCTCAAACAAAATTTTTTTCCTCAAAAAGATAGTCATTGTGTTACATAGGAAGATTAATAGATACTGCGATCAATACAGCCTAGAATAGTGAATAGCCCTATAATGTATGTGTTGGTAAAACATGCTGTGGATTGAGCATTTATGTCAAATACTACTACCATTTGAACTTCTATGATATGAAATTGCCCATCTCTTTGGTTATTGATAATAACTTATGAATACGTTGTTGAGAAAATTTACCTAGTGAGAAAAGAAGTTGCTTTTAGAATCTAGCTGATAGCTTGCAAAAGTGTGATTAATCATTTTGGTAATTCATTTGATCAATGTATCTCTCTCTATCATTGTTTGAGAACACAACGATTTTCTGATACTGCATTGGATTAGTCCCGTAACATGTTTGGCATGGATTATTTGAGTGTCTGGTTGGCAATTAATTAAGCCTCTGATTGCTTAAATGGCAAGTTTTACTGAGCATCTATGTAGAAAATGGTAGTAGATTTTTTAATAAGGGCCTGTTTTGATGTACTTGTTATCATTAATAATTCACTATTTCAATGAAGTTAATCCTGACAATGAATTACTCTTGTTTGGCAGTGCCCATCATAAAGTATGTAATATAAACTTATGGGCGGTTGTACAGATAAGTTTGTCTTTTTGACAAGCAATTTTAACCTTAGTCATAGTAATTTGCTCGAAATCACATGTTTTTAGCAAGAAATAGCTAAAAATAGTTGCAACTGGCTGGAACATCATACAAGATACGTGCCATACAGCTGACAAAGATGATAGTCTCCAGAGTATACTAGTTTTAGATAAGATAGTATATTTCAAATAATGTTAACTGTCATCCAAACCGGCCCTAGAGGAATGAGATAATAGTCATATACATGAATGCTTGTAACCCATTACCATAGAGTAAATCATGATTTCTCAAATGGTTGCATTGAAAAAAGGCTGAATGCTTCCCTATTACACATATTATGATAGATTAAAATATGAAACATTATGGCTTTTTAGATATCTATCAAATTAAACCTAACATGTTTTAAATATATTTTTTTGACAAAGTACATGCTTTGAATATTTATAGTCTGCAGTTGTGTCATGCATGTACATCGAATTGAATACTCTAAATTCTTACATGCACACATTTTCCAAGCATCCAAGCATACAATGAGTGTAATTTCTATATGTGGGTTACATTGAAAGTTTGGTGTATGAACAGTTTTAACATTATTCAAAAAAAGAAAATGAAAGTTGGGTGTATGATGTGATTCTGTTGAACTATGATTAACATAATTTCACGCTAGTGGGATAAGCCCAGAAACTCTAAAAAAGGAAAATTAAGAAATCCATTAAACATGTACGCTGCATCCAAAGTAAGGATCATTTAATTGTAATTCTCCCTTTGATGTAGGTTGATGCATGGAGAGTTTGACATCGATTTTTTTTTTGTGTGTGTGTGTGTTTGGCTAAGGGATTTGCAAAAACTTTGCTAGCATGAAGCAGTTGATATCTGCTGTGGTTTTATCTATGTAGATTTTCATGACTGAAGTGCTTTCCTGCAAAATGCATCTGTATGTTTAATCCTTGTTTAGAACATTGAGTCAGCAGCCATAGATAATATGTTTTTATTGGCGCACCATAGGAGTAAATAATTGTATGGGCGCACAAGTCTGCTCTCAAATCATGTATGGTGACCAAGTAAGTTGGCAGTGACTTGATATTCTGCCTCATCTACTAGATCAAGCAACCAATACTATTCCAGAGGCACCCAATTAGTTTGAACATAAATGTTTATTGCAGTATCTAAACGAGGGTTAGATTCTTTTTACTGATGAGCAAATTTAGATTCGCCTTGAGAGTAAGGCATTAGAATCACTTTTGGTCCTGAGAGCCTCCTGTACAATACAGATGAGGTACTGCACCAATATATGAATTACAAAGAGTATAACTATGATCAACAAATGTACAATCAAAGCCTGTTTAAGGGAGGGATAAGATGGGCAAATAAACTTAGATATCTGTCATATGATGAATGGCCCCAGTATAGGCTACCAAGTAAGGTCTGCTTGCTAGGTGATTGACTTATTGGTTGTGCTGGAAAGCTCAATAATAGTGATTAAGGTTCAAATCATATTATCAAGCTTATTGTAAACTTGACCGATACTGTTCATTGGGGAACAAAATATAGTAAATTAAAAAGTCAGGTTGTTACAATATGGTCAATAGGTTTGGTGGTTAGCAAAGAAAATCTTAGAATCGGGCTTGGCCTCGATTGCTTGCTTGTTGACGATTGTAGCACCGTGTTCTGAGTTGGGTTCCATCCACCGAACTGCCCCCATAAGAAAAGACCAGTTTGAGAAGAGAATTCGCATCTGAGGCAGCCAAGCTAGATGGGCTTGTAGTTATTATGAGGTGTCAACCTGAAAGAAAGGTGTACTTGCAAAATTTGCCAAGAAATGTAGGTTTGATGCTGTAAACACCTACAATGGCCTGAAAACTTATTTCTACTCCTAATTATGAAATTTTAAGCTCCAAAAATAATAAAGATGGAGCATATCCAAAGACACTTAAAAATATTGAAACGGACCATCCAGATAATGTTTTATAAGATGCACTATTTTTAGGAATTGATATCTTTTTTTTTATTTTATTTTATTTTTCATATACATACATCTCGTGGCCAAGATCTTCAACTGGAGAGTTTTCATTAACTTAGCTGGTATATGCTTTTCATTCTTTTTCAACTTTCTGAATAGATAGCTTTGTTGGTGTTGCCTGATGAACTTTAACAACCGTACCATGTGACAATAACGATTAAGTCTTGTTAGCCTTGTCTAGTGTAAGGTGACTTGCTTTATATCATGTAGTGAAACCACCTCTTGTGTTAGAAACCAACTCAATATTATCCAAGTACTGCATATCTGGATTCAAAATCTTTGCGATCCTCACAGTACTTCTGACTTATATATTCTACAAAATCTCATTTTTCATTCTTGCAAAAGAAAGAAAGAAATCAGCAAAACTCCCGCGGATGATACTGATTACAATTCTTGACAGCCTTGTCTAGTATCATGTGACTTGCTTTCTATTTTGTTGCGAAACCCACCTCTTATGAATCTTTCTAAGTTGTCACGAAGCAACGCAATATTATCCAAAGACTGCATATCTGGATTAAAATGCTCTTATTTGCCTTAGGTTACCATGCCAAGAGATGCGATTCACTTTGGAGGTGCAGAGCACCGAGAAGTGCATAATGCCTATGGATACTACTTTCATATGGCTACAGCTGAAGGACTTTTAAAGAGAGGAGGTGGAAATGACAGGCCATTTGTATTATCACGAGCATTCTTTCCGGGAAGTCAAAGGGTTGGAGCAATTTGGACTGGAGATAATTCTGCAGATTGGGATCATCTTAGAGTTACGATCCCAATGGTTTTGACTCTTGGGCTTACTGGCATCTCTTTTTCAGGTGAATGGATAGTTTATACTTTTTTTCTTGTTTTTGCAGTATATATATATGGTCACTTTGTTTATCCATGATGCACTTTACATCTTATGTTTTCTCTGATTTTTTTTTTTTTTCAGGTGCTGATGTTGGTGGGTTCTTTGGTAACCCTGAGCCTGAGTTGTTAGTTCGGTGGTATCAGTTAGGGGCCTATTATCCGTTCTTTAGGGGTCATGCCCATCATGATACCAGGAGACGAGAACCTTGGTTGTTTGGGTAAGATAATGGCTATGCTATTCAAACAAGCAATTTTTAGATTAGAAATAGACAACAGAAAGGTAAAGTTCAGCCATCTGTTTTTTTCAATATTAAATTTCTTTGATTCTCTTTTGCACGACTTTTATATCCTTATCGATATTACAACCTCTGCTCACTAGGGAAGTGGGCATACGCCAGAGACATATTTTAAGAAGATTCTTCTCTTGTCGGCCAATTTATTAAAAAATATTAGTACTGTCACCTCCCAATCTATCTGCTCTTTTAGCCAATCCCAAATAGTTGGGATAAGGCTTTGATGATGATGATGATGATCTATTGAAATAAGGAGCCCATCAATTCTAGTCATGACCAAATCAGACTGATTATTTATATTTTTTGAGGGGAAGAACAGTATTAAACCCATTTTCATTTTTAACATTAAAACTTGTTGAACTTAAATCTATATACCTCCCTGATTTTGTCGATGTTCAAATCCATGTGGCTTGGAAAATCCACACTAGCATCTTGGGGCCTCCATGATGCTTCCAATGATATTTAATTGCTTGCAAAAATTTATTTTTATCCCCATCTACAAGGCCCTAAAACCCCATTGAAAATCTTTAGAAGTCCTTCCCAGTCATACACCAACACTCTAGGCTATCCATAAGTAATTCTAACAATTTTTAAGAAGTCGGATCGGCCACCTAGGCTGCCAGGCACCTGCCTAGTTTCCCAGGCTGGCCATACAGAAAGAAGGGGGGTTTGGGGTCTCAAGGATGATATTGGGGGTTTGGGTATCAAACACCCTTATGTTAACTGATGTAAGAAGTATTTTTTTTATTAAAAAAAAACTATTTTTAAGTGGCTTTATGTGTGCCAAAATCATACATTCATGAGCTTGAATGTAAAAACATATTACTAAAAATTTGAAGATCGAAACATACCCAAAATTCATGCAATAACTGTATGGATCGTTAAATATTTACACAAGCGATCTATCCTTAATCCACATCGACTATCATACACTAAAACAGAAAGTCACAGAAGTCGAAAATTCAAAAGTCTTAGGGCAATAAAACTCAAAACAAGAAACAAATTCATTAACTCAAATGTCAAATTGAGTATCATCATCATCACCATTACTAGCAGCACAAGGAACACCACAATCTTCATCTTCACAACCACAAGCAAATGCATTTGAATCTGATGATGATTCCAAATCGTCATCATTAGGTTTTTCTACAAACCCTATATATGTTTTTTTTTTATAGCTGCTTGTTTGGATTCTTCCTATTGTGGATTTCTGCAATTTTAGATGGTATATACCTTGTCAATTTTCTAAGATATTGAGGTCGAACCAATTTTGTAATTTTCGATGGAATCTTGTTACTTTTATGATTTTTCACTTCCAGGGTCCAACAAGCCATTCCATGCTGGGCTGGGTAGGGTCGGGACCCGGTTGTCTAAGTCCAGGTGCTTAGGTAACTAGGTTGGGTCTATGTTAGGGTTGTCCCTACCCGAGCCCAAACCATTTCCAGCTCTAATCATGTTTCCCTCGTGCAACCAGCCTTCTAATTTATAATACCTATGCTAAATTTCTTAGGATGCGATTGTGCATGTCATCAGCATACAATAAAGTTTGTCAAGTTCATTTGATTTAAAAATAGCCTTTTGGTCTTTCCTCTCATAACAAGAAAAATCTTCTTGCACACTAGAGCCCTAGTAAATGAGGTTCCTTACGTACATTTCTCCCTCCTTAAAAGGAATCTTTCCTTATAATAAGGTTTCCTAGCATGTATGAGATTAAGATAAATTTTTACTTGTTTTGGATTTCTTTAATTTTTAATTTTAATTAAAATAAGAAATGAAATTGTTATAATTATGATTTCTTTTGTTTAACATTTTTTTTCCATTTTAAAAGTAGGGATTCAAAAAATTAGTCATGGAATAGAGTCCTATATATATGATGAATTTTAATTCTCAAATAATTTTTTTCAGTAAAAATGAGGAATATGAAACATTTTTAAATTTAAATTTTTATCATGAATTGATTTGCTAAAAAATAATCTGCTTCAATTTAAACTACAAGAACTTTGTTCATGGTTTATTTGGTATGCCTGTGCATTGCACAGACTATGAAGTAGTAGTTGCCTCAGCTGTAAATAAAATTGTTTTTTCTTTTTTGGAACTTCTGCAGTTAGACCTTACCTAGCCTCTGCCAAATAGATTTACAATTTTGTTTGCCATTTGTAATTTAGGTTTCAAGTTTCAAATAATTTGCTTGAGGATGATATGGGCACTTCCATTATTGTTGTCATTGTCCTTTTTTTGTATTGTGGTTTAAGCTATTTGTGAAAAGCATTATTGTCATTTCTTTTCTATGGCTTATAGAGGGAGAGATTGGTCTTATGGACCAAACGATATTTGGTCATTTGTCTGTTATTAACTTTTTGTATACCTTGAATTATGATTATTAAGATCTTTGATTTTAATCTCAAAATTTCTGGTGCAAACCAAATTTCTTCTTTAAAACTGATATGACGGATTCATTGAAGTAACCATGCATGCAATATTGCTTTATACATCAGATCTGGTGATTTCTGATTGCATGCACAGTAATGCCTTTTTTGTTCCAAGGTTCCACTTCAACAATTATTCTATCACATAAAAAGTACAAAGCAATATACCATGATATCAATTCTCAAGATTCTTATTTTCTTATAAAATGGTAGTAATTAATTGTAATATCATTTCTCAGGATTCTTAACCAATATCATTCTGGCAAAGTGCCTGTCGGTATGGTTGGATTAAAATTTGGGGTCTGGTTATTCATTGTTTATTTGTTCATAGATTTGCCATATTGGTCTAAGAAGGGTGAGGACCTTAAATTCCCCCTAACTTGTCCCAAGGTAAAAAATGTGGGTTGTGTTAGGTAAGCAGCCAAAGTAAAATTTTGCCAAAAGTTTTCATAAATTTGGAATATGTGCTATCTGCTTATTCTAAGGTGTTAGCCTCACTGAAGGTATAGCCTTTAATAGAGCAGAATGGTAGACCGGGATTCGTGTAGCTAATCCTAATTAGTTTTTGTCATGTGGTTCATGAATTTCACGTGGTTTTTGACATCTTTTTTATCCTTTCCATTTCTTGAATGTAGAGAGAAGAATACTGCCCTCATCAGAGAGGCCATACACATTCGTTATGCACTGCTGCCATATTATTACACATTATTCAGAGAAGCCAGTGTCAGTGGTGTACCCGTTATGCGCCCATTGTGGATCGAATTTCCTGCAGATGAAGCGACATTTAACAATGACGAGGCATTCATGGTCGGGAACAGTCTATTAGTACAGGGAATATATACTGAGGTAATTCCTTAATTTTCATTCTCAATTTTTTTCTTATTACTTTCTTTCTCTTGACCAAGTTACCTCTTCGAGCTTTGCTAGTTGGGAACCATCTAGTAAGTTTTTTCATTTGATTTATTTTCCGTGTTTACTTCTTTTGCTAGAATAAGTTTCTTGTATGAACTTTTATCTCTCAAACTTTTGTGGGACATTTTTAACAGGGGGCTAGATCGACTATTGTTTATTTGCCACGGGGACAAACCTGGTATGATATGAGAAGTGGGGATGCTTATTCAGGAGGCAAGAACTATACACTGGAAGTCTCTATGGAGAGCATACCTAGTTTTCAGAAGGGTGGCACCGTTATACCAAGGAAAGATAGGTTTCGTCGAAGCTCTACCCAAACGATGGATGATCCTTTCTCTCTGGTATGTCCCTTACACATTATTTATTTGGGTTGTAAAAACCAAAGGGGATTGATATTTGAACTTTCGTTTTCACAATCCGCCCACACATATATGGGCGGAAACCTAATGATCTCAGAAGAGTGCTTGCCAAAAGTTCCATAATTTATCATTGAGAACCGTGGATGCCTCTGTGGTTACCAAATAATTGGTGCATGTTATGCTCCCTTTTCTAGCATTATTCAAAAATGGACTAATAAATAAAATGCAATAATGGCCATTTCTATTTTTTAGGTTATTGCTCTGAACAGTTCCATGGAGGCAGAGGGCGAGCTCTATATGGATGATGGCAAAAGCTACGATTATGAACAAGGAGCATACATCCATCGCCACTTTGTGTTTTCAAAAGGCATTCTGACCTCTTCAAGCATGAGGTCCACTAAAACTAGCAAGAAGACTTTGTCTTCAAACTCAGTTATTGAAAGAGTCATAGTTCTTGGGCTTTCATCTTCGGCCAAGAGTGCTCTTATTGAGCCAGCAAAACATACAACCGAGGTTGAACCTGGGCCACTCACTCTTCGAAAAGGTTCGAGCGCCGTTGGAGTTACTATCCGCAAGCCCAATGTTAGAATTGATGAGGATTGGGCGATTAAGCTTGTTTAGAGACTATGTTCATAAATTTTTGGTGATTTTATTTTTCATGATCACCAATGTAGAAAATTTGGTTCCTCATTTACTGAATTTTGGTCAGTTATCGAAGGGTATGTAGTGGCGAATGTTCCATTTTGAATGGGATTTAACTAGTTTCATGGTTCATGTTCTTTTGATGATGATAAAAAAAATGCAGCATGAGGCTAATAGTTAGGCCTCATTAAATAGAGAGTTGAAATCAGCTTGAGCTGCAATGTACCATTGGGGAGAGCTTTTTGATTTTTCGGTGTCCTAAGTCATTTGCTAATTTCAAAAGTTAGAAATATCATTGAGAGCGAGAGAGTAAGAGTGAGAGTGTGTGTTTAAGACAGACAGGTGCAAATTTGGGTGTGGCCTTTTAATCTAATCCATTCTTATAATTTCATAGAATGTAGTCTGCTTAGCTCTATCACCTCAACCATATTTCACAGTAGGTTATGGTATTATGTCCAAGAGGAAAAGCCACAAATTATTATTTTCTCTTAGCTCTATGTATAATATCAACTTGCGTATACAATACAGACTTCTTTAAATCACCATTTCTGCTTGGCCACTCAAGAATTGAGCGGTCATTATTCAATATTAATTTCTTATGTTTTCTATGCACATATACAATATGTTTATTATTTTACACCTGCTTAAAATTTTCCTCTAGTACTTTCTTTGATGGAATTCTCTAAGTTTTCAAGAAAATTATTATTATGCTTTCTCAAAGAAAAGTTAACGTTATAAAAAATAAAAAAAAAATCTACTACCGAAGCATTACTATTTTATTTACCTGGAGTAGTTATTTATTTAAATATATTAGTAAAAATATAATAAAATCATTTAATAAATACGGTAGCTTATAAGGTTAACCTCAAGAGATGGATGGGAAATAAAGAAACAAAGAGCAAGATGAAAGAAATGAAAGGAAATCCATGAGTTTCATCGAGGTTTCACCATTGAGGAGAGAGAAAGATGAAAGCAGAGAGAGAGTGAGAGTTGTTCAAGAGAGAGGGAATAGGAGTCTCAATCGCCCTTTTTAGTTTAGCAACTTACTCGTTCTCGATAAGAACTTTAATTGTGCATCATAAAATATTTCCATGTATATTAAGTGTTTATGTTAAATATGTTTGTTAAACTTTATATGTTTTTGATAAGGGTACGGTTTGTATAGAGCCTAGGCTCTAAACAATCAAATTAGAGCCTACTTCAAATAGTGTTGAGAAATGTGGTTTTACTGCTGGAAATCTTTGTGATAGCCTTAAAATATATTTTTATATTTATTTATAAAGTTGAAAGCTTCAAAAATAGTGTAGATCGACAGATCTATGAAAACTTGACAATCTTGAAAATTGACGGTCTAAAAATGCATTACAAAATACACTATTTCCAAAACTTGGAATTCATTTTTTTCTTATGTCCATGCATCTTGATGTCAAGATGATCAATTTGAAGATATTTGGGCATCAAAACAACCTCTTCTAGTGAACTTTTTGAGGTAGGCTCAAATTTAATTGTTTAGATCCTTGGCTCTATACAAACTTTTCCCTTTTGATAAAGAACTAGAATTTAAACAAATAATGGAGCCATGAATCTCTCATTAACAACATTTTTTTAGCGGCAAATTAACTATAAAAACTGTACGTGAGTTAAAACATGCGGGGAGCAATTTCATGTGACTGTCTTATTGTAATATAATGAAACATACATTTTAAAATTGTGTTTAAAGCACTTGTTTAACCCTAGTTTTTTAACACTTTATCCACGAACAATTTCAAAAACCAAAATTTGAAAATACACCATAAAAATTACTATGTTTAATTTTCTAACCCAATGAACATAGGTCTTACATGGATGATTAGATCTAGGCGATAGAGTTAAGTCTTTTTTTATTCTAGTTTTTGTATATGGCCTTATAGACATGGATGCAGTTGGCATACGGATGCATCCGCAGGTGTAGAGGTAAGGTGCACCTTCAAATTTAATTATGGTATATAATTTTGATGTAAAATGTTTTTAGGATTATCTCAAAATCTATTTTTATATCTAATTATGAAATTTTAAATTTTAAAATGGTTAAAATCAAGTAGATCTATAAACATATGAAAATCTTGAAAATGGACGGTGTAGATAATATGTTGTAAAATGCACTATTTCTGAGACTTAAAATCTTTTTATTTTTCATAGTCATATATCTCAATGTCAAGATGATCAATCAAAGGGCTTTTCAACATTAAAACTACCTTTTCCGATGGATTTTAGAGGGACATCCGTAGGAAGCATCCTTATATAAACTTAGAAATTGTATGAACAATTCTAAAAAACTAGATCTTAATGTCCACCAAATGAATTGTGACTTATTGCTGGAGAATGACTCCATAATTTCTAAAGTACCTCCTATCAAGGGTGCTTAAAGTTAAACTTTGATGGTAGTTCCCTTGATAATCCGGGAGAAGCGGATATTGGAAGAGTGGTGTGAGATTCATCTAGACGGGGTTTCTTCTATAAGGCCGAGGTTTTGTGAAAACAAAATAATGCCTCACCTTAAATCCTCGTCTGGAAAGCACTTTCAGCGTCGGAAATCTCCATGATGGCTCTAAAATCAAATTCCAACACTGACTATGAAATTCGAAACTAAAAAGATAGTACAGATCTTGCAGAGTTATGAACACTTATTTTTGGGTGAAATGGACGATCTAGATAATTTATTATAAAATACACTATTTTTAGAGCTTGAAATCTTTTTTTTTTTCACAAACATAATGTTCAAGCCAAGATGATCAATAAAGGGTTTTTAATGCTTGAATTGTAATTTTTGATGAGTTATAAGTTGATGCTTTACTTGTTTTGATAGGGCCGCAGCCCTATTAAATCATTTTTCATGTTTTATTGTCAGAAAATGGTTTGATAGGACTGCAACCCTATTAAAATAAGTACATCCTCACCTCATAACTCAACACAAATTGCGAATCAATCGTTGGAAAACCTTTACATCGATCATCTCAATGTGAATATTATGGTTGTGAAAAAAAATTAAGAATTTAAACTCTAAAAATAGTGTACATTGTAACAAATTCCGTAGCCTGTCCATTATGCTTTAAAAGTAAGTGTTCACATATCCGGAAGATCTGTACTATTTTATTAGTTTCAAATTTTATTGTCGGTGTTGAAAATTGATAGAGATTTCCATCACTGAAAGTACTTTCCGGACGAGGATTCGACGTGAAGCTTTGTTTTGTTTTCATAAAGCCTAGGCCTTATAAAAACTTCATCCTTTATTTTGTGGTTTATACAAGGAGTCACATATATTATTATTATTTTTTAAACAAGGTTAATACATGGAATCCGTCTAAACAGTCAAAATAAGGCACGGTTCCAAACACAACAAGAAAATGTCGTTCTTCCACCATTTGCAATGAAATTTAAACCTCCAAAAGTAGTAGAGATTGAACAGATCTATAAATACTTAAAAATTCTAGAAATAATCGGTCTATATGATATTGCAAGATGAAATATTTTTAAGGAATGGAAGTCTTCCATATTTCACAAGAATGAGATTATCAAATGGATGGTTTTTTACCATTGAAACTGCTACACCCCTCATATAAACCATTTGCTTTAGGGCGTGTTTGATAAGTGGAAGTTTTTGGAGGTGGTAATTAAATGTCCCACTTCCATGTTTGATATTATTATGCGGAAGCAATAAAGTAGAAGGCGGCTTTTCACTCAGCTCTTTTTTAGTGTTAAAATGAGTTCATTTTTAGAAGATCTTCGTTCCATAAAAAATAATGGAAGAGCAATCTTCCATAATTTGTGGGATAGTTCGTTCCACTCTAAAAAAAACTCCACGTCTTAAGTTAGTATGCAACTATTAAGTTAGTATGCTACATGGGATTCTATAGTATGCTCTGCATAAGAAACTATGGTACTGTAACATGATCTACATGAGTTTTAAATCATTTTCTACGATGCATGATTGTTTGGAGTCAAAAAGTAGTGATATGATCTGGGCTCGAAGGCAACGTATCACCTCCGCATTCAATGAACCCAAATCAACGCATCTGACCACGATCGAACCATTGAATCCTCAACGGAAAAAACGACAATTAATGTGAGAGAGAGATCTATTGGTCGTAACATCCTAGAGAGAGGTTCATGGCAATCCGAGATGGAAATTGTTGCATGCGGCCTGGACTGCATTTCTACAATATGAACTCCAGAGGTATAAAGCATCCATCTTAAAGATGGATAAAAATGCGTGGTTCATTTAAAAACAATTGTAATTAATGGTCCAAATTTTTTTTTAATATAATTATTATTATTATTTTTTCATATGCATGGTCTCCATGTTTAAGATTATATATTCTCTAAAAGTTAATATCAAATTATATTTTAAAAAAATATTTTTTGCCAAGCCTGCATTTCTACCATATGTGGACTGGCCGCATAGAAACCGTGTCAATCCAATATTGTTAATATGTGGTTAGCAAATAACCTAAAGGCCATGAATCAATTTTTCTTCAAGTTCCTAATGTTTTCTTTTTTTTTTTGACAAAGATTCAAAGATTTTATTACTAAGTAAGGAACAAGAAAAGCATGTGGTTCGTCTAAAAACAATTGTAACTAACGGTCCAAATTATTTTTAATTATTTATTTTTGTTTTTTTTTCATATTCATGATCTCTATATTTAAGATTATATATTCTCTAAAAATTAAGATCAAATTATATTTAAAAAAATATTTTTTGCCCAGCCCACATTTCTACAATATGTGGGCTGGCCGCATAGAAACCATGTCCATCCAAGATTGTTAATATGTGGTTAGCAAATGACCTAAAGGCCATGAATCAATTTTTCTTTAAGTTCCTAATGTTTTTTTTTTTTTTTTTTGACAAAGATTCAAAGATTTTATTGCTAAATAGGGAAAGAGATTACATCATTTGAAACAACAAGAGCAGGTAAAAGAGTCCCACCCTTCGCCAAGGAATCCGCCAATGAATTAGCTTCCCTAAACACATGGACGAAGGAAAGATAGATTGTTTCAACTAAATCCATCACTTGTAGCAAGAGGCCGCGCAATTCCCAAGGAACTCTTTATTCCTTATTACCCCATTTAACAATATTTAAGGAATCCCCTTCACAA